TAGAAATTTACCGACGTTTCAAAAGTACTTGCTGCCTCCATCTTCAGAACGATGATGGAGGCAACAAGGACCAGAGCCATAGATCCCTTCAAAGATCGAAATCTGCACTTTCCGCACTATATATATATATACACACACATATATATATATGTCATTCACAAATTCGATTCGAGTACAAAATTAGGTTAAGTTGCTTCATGACATTATACAGAAAAGCAAACCATTCAAATAACGTGAACTCTGTTTACCACGTATACACTTAAGATCGAAAGAAAGAGTAATTTCTTTACCTTTGTTTGTAAACATCTGAGGGTCATTCAGTTATTCCGTGAAAAATTAACCATGTCCCAAGTTCCGAAGGACCTTGTTTCTTACTCGTAACATCGACACACGCGACGTCTTGTCTGTTATTTCAACCACGAATATTGCAAATGTTAACTAATTAGTTTCGATTATAATCGATACGTAATTTGAGGTTCTCGATCGGGAGTAGATATCGATGTTGGTCTTCTCGATTGTAACGCCGTGTGTACTGAATATTGGAGACAGTATATTCCTCAGAATCATTGATAAAAGTGATTATAAAAAGACACCAGATATTTTGATGCGATCGAATCTGTTATGTTGACATTTTACATTTGTATATTGCCTTATAACAAAATCTAATAATGGCACTAGTGTTATAAGTAAAGCTGTCCGTAGTTCTTAATTTAAGCAGCACAGTACACATACAGGAGGTCAATGGTTACTTCATGTCTCGACCATTTACCCCCAAGGCTCCAGAACCAATCCAGGTAATAAAAATGCTACCTTGCCAGGAATCAAACCCCTGTAGTCCTATCCAATGCACTGTCACCTGTTCCGACTCATAGCATCAGTGGTATTAAAAGTTACGACGTGTAATTCTTCGGAACTCCGATTATTTTTGTGAAACTGAATTTTCATATCAACGAATATAAATTTTACTGTCTTCTAAATTCATCACCGGAATCTGGTAACATATTAACCGAAGTAGCCTTCTCCATTAGCACATCCCAAAAGACAGCCAGCGATATTCATGTGTGTTTTGCCTGTGTAATGACTACTTTCTATCTCTAGTGTTCGACTCGGCTGCCAAGATTCCAGTAGGCGTTCTAGCAGGAAACCAGTACCACCTGGGACATTACGACGAATGCGTGGAAATATCGCTGGACGCCGGAGAGACTTTCGGCGGAATGCTAGAAGGACAGTACTGCTTAGCAGAAATACAATTTGACACCGCAATTTCTCTGGAAGCAGACCCTTACACCCTCAACTACGACCCCAAGTCCTCTGCTTTTGAAAAGATTAAGGTGAGAGCTAATGAGATAAAACCCTATAGATGGCCTTTCTGAAGTGTACGTTTGTCGAGAATAATCGATTAATATTAACAGTCCGATTTTTCCGAAACAAACGAATGCCAATCGAACTAATTCTTGTGATTTATTGCGAACCTAATTCGCAGTACAAACACGACCCATCCAAAGTACGACGTGACGTCATGCACTGGGCTTTGTGTACGCCCGCTTCGTGTTCTCCGGAGGAACTGAACGAGGTTTTGAAACAAGAGATCACCAAGGTCGGCGAATCTCACGGCATCCAATTCACGTCCCACATATCTCACGAACTTTGTCACACTTTGGACCACACACAGACCTTATCAGCTGGGGATATTGGCTACTTGTAAGTATCCTACCAAGAACCAGTTCGCCTGGCACCTGACACAATCCTTTCAGCTTTCATTGTACGAAGGGTAAGAACTGATACGAGAGTTGTCCATCTGTCCCCGTACACATGTTTCATATGCAGAACCCCTTGATGGATTCTGGTAAAATTTGGTATTGACAGTGCACATTAATTTTTTTTTGAACAATTTAATCAGAGCTTATCAATCTACGGCCCTCGTACATTATGTCACAGCGTTATAATAAACTGTTCAATGTTATAACCCTAAGGCTCACGAGTTGATAAGAAAGGGTTAATACCCCACCAGGCCTGGAAAACGTTTAACACCCCTGTTTCAAACTTCTGGCTTGTATACACGAGGTGCCTGGTTCAAATCTCGACCGGGACACTGAGTAACTTGGCTGTATTTATATGTAGATCATAAATAGGCCACAACTATTTGCTGTCAAATATTTTCAAGTTCACCGAATGCGATAATTTCTGAACAGCAATCTTTAGTAATGTACAATATAGTTACCATCTCACACAGAAGTAAAAATTACATTTAAATATCAACAGAAATTATTCAAGACCGAGTATCTTTGGAGAAGGTCTCTGTATAATACTAGTATATCGGTTTTTTTAATTAATATTATCACAAATTAAATTCAGCATAATCCTCCTTATAGCCTAAACATAAGATGAAATATAATCATTAATTATCGTGTTCACAAAAGGCCAGCGGTCTCTAGTTCACAGAGAAACTATGCAGGCACATTTATCAAACAAAGCAGTGCAAACAAAAAAGTAATTTACCTGCATTGTAACGATTTTTAAAAACGCAAAAACACTAACTCATTTCTACGGCGGACATAGACGTTTCAATAACGCTTTAATTTCACTGTTCAAATACATACATACAAGAGGCTAAATTTCTATGCTAAAAAGAATTTGTTACAAATTTCATACTATTGAAATATTTAGTTACCTTGGAACCACTAATCTCTTTAAACAATCAAATACGTACTTATGTAATACGCACACCCGATAGATAGTTCAGTATCAGTTCGTTGAATATATTAAACTTTATTTTTATTTGTAAATTTCGATCTAATCTCTGTCTAAAACAATCTGTAAATCAAGCCTATGTCATAAATTGTTTTATAAACATTAATATTTAATTTGTAAGAAATATAACATCATGTTGCCCAGTTTCCTTAAGACTTTAATAAATCTCACGTATCTCATTTTCAGGTTTGTTCTGATATCACTTATAAGTTTGCTCGTGTCCAGCACATTGTACGACTACAAATTTACCACTGACCTGCCTGAGAATAAATTAGAACCAAGTGGGTATATGAGTTGTATTATTTTATATAAATTCTATATTTAACAAATATTTTACATCATATTGCCATTCAACCTAGTGTTATAGCTGTTGAGTTACCACGTGAAAATAGAAAAATAATTGAATGTCAAAATTCCACCAAATTTTTCAACACGTTAATATTAAAATTGCTATCCTGTTAATTCTCAGTCTTACAGATGGGACATGGCATTAATCGTGTACGTTTAGCCGGTAGGAAATATGATAAATATTTTTAATTTGTAAACGTAAAATAATCGAAAAATCTTGAACATAAAAGATGTACCAGTATTGGATGCTGCTGGAACGATTGTGAAATACAAGAGAATTGAATCGGATATATGGAACGTCATTTGAAGTCACTTTTTAAAACACATACTAAATTTTCTTTAAAGTGTCATTAGTGGTCAAAAGAGTTAGGTATTATTGTATTAGTAGCCACGTCAAAATGACTGGAGCTCTTTCCATGAATACGCTTATGGTTTCAATGTACAAATTTCTTTATTTGCTTTGATTTGTTATCCAACACACAACCGCGTTAAGGAAACGGGCCTTCTTATATAAATCAATCACTTTACAGCCAATTAGCTACATAAGAACACAAGTTATATTACAAAATACTGTACATTTAAATGTCAGGAATAAATCCCTGTCTACATGTCTAAATTAATTTTAACTTCCAAACTCCAATCTAATAAAACGAACTGTAATAAATTAAATAACTGGGTTTTTTCCTTTCAAATATTTCATTGCGTTTGCTGATAAAGTTGAACGCAACTGGCATTTCCTGGTACCGGGGTGGAACTGCATAAATTACTGCCAAATGCTACAAGGTTATCCCGATAAGTAAAATATCACTTAAAAGACAATACAATCAACCAGGAAGTCATAGTTACCATAAAATGGAGAAAGCTTTATTAGTAATCAGCAGGCAAAACGTAATTTTATACTAAAAAATTATTCATTCACAAACATCTCAACCGATCAAAATTCTTACAAATTCCTACGGTTTCTTCAGATAACAATGTAACCTTTCTAAAAAAATATATTTATTCAATAAATATAGAGCAAAAGTAACTTTACATTAAATTATAATTGATTTTTATAATACATCATTATACCCTTAATAAATTATAATCTATAAACGTTGCTTGTTTTTCAGCTACGAAGAACCCGTCAAAAATGGAGAAAATATTTTTGTGTTTCTCCGCGAGACGAAGCGTTAAGAATCTTTTCACCCGAAATTCCATTCATCCAGCTCTTGAAACAACTCACGGTGCCAGAGTATTTTTCATGCTGATGATAATTATGGGACACAGGATTATTACATATGGAGGTCATCCTCTATTCAATGCTGAAGCCGAGGAAAGGGTACGCAAGCCTCGAGTCCAAATACACAACAAATTTCGTATTCACAATTGTCCAGAACCGAATCACAAGTCTGATTGTCCTAAGCGAAGTTTTCTTTAAAATGATCTCACTGTAACTTTGAAAACATCTGACGAATGTAAGTAGTAACAAAACTAAACTCTTAACAGAGGAAATACATTTTCTCGACAACAGCAAGAAATTTGAAGATTTGTGTCTTCTGGGTTGTTGCGCTGTGTAGACTGGTTGATGTTTACCAACGTTTCAGAGGTCATACTGCCTCCGTCATCAGCACGATTCATC